ACTCTTGGTGTTCCCTCTGAGGCAAAGGGCAAGTGGGGAAGCACCCCTCACCTCCTGGAGGAGGTAGAAGAGGTCAACAACAGTTGGGGTGCTCTACTCTGTGGTATAGCTGCCTGTGTAAGCAATCCATCACCCACGATCCTGTGAGTAACCTCGAATGGTTTCCTTTTTTCACCAGATAGGACTTGGTGAAATCGTTTGCCTGGTCTGTGGCTGCCTTCTCTGTCTGGAGTGAATGGGAACGGAACCCCCCAGGAGTCAAACAGTGACTCTCCTGAGTACTTTCACAAGTCTAGACCTGGTGAGCGGGTCAGTGGAAGAGTGCTTGCCTAGAACACATGGAGGAGGGCTGAGTGAAAATGTCTCCCCACAGACTGGCATTTGAACGCTTGAGCCCAGCTGGTACAGCTGGGAGGTGTGTCCTTTCTGGAAGAAGGGTGTCCCTGGCTTTGAGAGTGTAAAAGTCTTGTGCTATTATTCTAGTGCACGCTCTCTACTTTGCACTTGAAGTCTGAAGATGCAAACGCTCAGCTTTGTGTCCAGCCGCCATGCCTCCACCCTGCTGTTGTGGACTCTCATCCCTCTGGAACCGTAAGCCCAAATGAGTCCTTCCTTCTAGAAGTTGCCTTGATCATGGTGTTTTATCACAGCAACAGAAAAGTAAGGAATACATAGGTGAGGTGCCGAGTTACATGTCCCCAGTGTAGCAACAACAAACCAGACAGCTCGGGCTGAGGCAATCGCTCGGTCAGCAATCGCTTGGGCCTGAGCTGAATGTCAAGCCAATGTCAAAAGGGAGGAGCAGAGACGGCTCAGCAGTTAAGAGCACTGGCTGCTCTTCCAGAAGGCCCGGGATCAAGTCCCAGCAGTCACGTGGCAGCTCACAACTGTCTGTGACTCTGGTCCTAGGGGATCTGAATCCCTCCTCTGGCTTCCATGGGCACCAGACATGCACATGGTGCACAGACAAACACGCAGGCAAAACACTCATACACATAAAACAACTGAACAAACTTTTTAGAGAGAGAGAGAAAGAGAGAGCTAAACATGGAGGTAGGCTTGTAATCCCAGTGCTGGGGAGGCAAAGACAGGTGTATCCCTGGGGCTTGTGGGTCAGGCAACCTAGACCAGTAACCGACCCCGTGTCAAGAAAAAACAAAGTGGAGAGCAACAGATGAGTGGCACTCAAGATTACCCTGAAGAAATATATACAAGTGCATGTGTGTGCTGACATCCACATAAAGGAAGGAAAGCAGACCAACAGCTTCAACCACCTTCACTCCCTAGAAGGCTGTTGACAAGGTCTGGAGACATTCTGGCTGTCACCTGGGCAGAGGTCAGCCCAGCACTGCTCACCCAGCATCTCAGGACAGCCTGACACCTTCACTGAGAACAACCTGAATCCGCACCCAGAAGCACACTGTGCTGAATGGAAGGAGCCCGAGTGTCCCATCACCAGCAAAGACGGTGTCTTAGTTAGGTTTTGACTGCTATGATGAAACACCATGACCAAGGGGAACTTGGGATCAAAAGGGTTTGTTTCAGCTTACAAACGGAAGGTCAGAATCCATCACCAAAAGAAGTCGGGGCAGGAACTCAAGGCAGGAATGAAGCAGAGGAACACTGCTTACTGGCTCGTTCCTCATGGCTTGCCCAGGATCCTTTCTCTTACAACACATGACCACTTGCCCAGGGAGAGCATCACCCACAATGGGCTGGGCCCTCCCACATCAATCATTAATCAAGAAAAGATCCTACACTACAGGCAGTCTGATGGAGACTGTTCTCAATTGAAGTTCCTCTTCCCAGATAATTGTAGCTTGTATCAAGATGACCAAAAAAAAGAACAAATGAGAGCCCACAGTATTGGTGCTCCTCACCCAGCACTCCTGCTGGCAGGGACCTTCCTATTCACATCCCAGCTCCAGGAGGAAGGCTCCGCAGATCCATCTGGGAGCTGGGGGGGGGGGGGGGGGGCTCACCGAGTTGTTACCTTGAGAATTCAGCTCCACCCAGCAACAACCAGGGAATCTCAGCCCATCTGACTGAAGTTGAAGCAGGTAGGCAATTCCCTGGAGAGGTTTTCCTCCCCTCCAGGAAGAGCCACTGGCTGTGATTCACACTGGGATCCCTCCCTGGGGTTAGAGAACACAAAAGAAACTAAGAGACTTCTGACCCCATGAGGCAGTCAGCAGTATTTGTCTTTCTGGGGCTGGGTGACATGGATTCTAGCTTTTATAGTTACTTATGTACATCTGTGGGAGCAGGTGTGGGGATAGGTCATAAAACTAGAAAGCGCCCATGAGAGGAGGAAAGGGGTGTTGAGGAAAGGGGGGCAACAGAATACAAATAACAAGAAGGCAGAAAAGAGGTACTGATGGGTAAAATGAGAGAGAGATGGGGAAAAAGGAAAGGGGGATTTAAGTGTGTGTGTGTGTGTGTGTGTGTGTGTGTGTGTGTGTGTGTGTGTGCATGTGTGTGTTTGAAAATGCCATCATGAAACTCCATACTTTATATGCTAACTTTAAAGTAAGAATATAATAAGGACTACTGTTCACAATAAATGGAAGAATTGTGACGAAAATGAGAAAAAGGAGAGGTTAGATGTGAGAAGTCCTCCTGAGCACCCCAGCAAGATGTCCCACTCAGGGGCCCTGGAGTTCTGGTGTGTCCCCTAAAAGCCTCCTTTAGCAACCAGCCGACCCCCTGCCCCAAAGACAAGAGCACAGCCAGGAGGCCACTCAGAGGGACAGCCAGTCAGTCATAGGAGGCCTCAGATCACCAGGAGCAGGGAGGAGAAGGGACGCTTTATCCTTTAAAAAAAAAAAAAAAAAAGTGTCTGGATGTCGCCTGATGGCCCAGCAGCTTTGCAGAGAAGAGTCCACAGTGACCTGTCACTAAGGAACAAGGAGGTTTGGACACTTTCAACAAGCTAATGGTCACTACGGACAAAATTCCACAGAAGGCGCTGCTGTCTGCTTGACCCATTCTCCCAGAGCCCATGAGAGGAGACAGGGACTCTGCCCCCCACCCCAGGAGGGACATCTCTCTTCGTCACCCCCTCACCCCTCACCTCTCATCCTCTGTGCCTTCACACACACACACACACACACACACACACACACACACACGCGCGCGCCCGCCTGGAAACACTCTCTGGATGATTAGATGGTACAAACAAGGAAGAGGAATTTGGCAGGTGTTACAGGCAGCCCTGGTCTCTGGGCAGTCTTTAAACTGTAAAGCAGGAGTGTGAACACAGGGGGTCACAGAACCCCTCAAAAGGAGGGTTATGACCAGGCCTGGAGGGATCATTTCTGTCCGGTTCCTGCATATTCCTTCAAACCCAGACCGTGGGGGCTCCTGCGCCCCCACCCTTTGTAAATTTCACCAGCACCCACAGAATTCCCTTAACCTCCAGAAGGCACTCAATGGGGACATGCTGGTGCCCCACCTAAAGCTTGTCCCTTGGGGTGGATTTTGGCACTAAATCACATTATTGGGCACACAGAGCCACACAAAGTGGATCTTCCAAAGAAGCTGGGCCTATTGACACATTTATTTTGTCAACAAAGACGCTACAGTCAGAGAGGCTAAGTGACTTGCCCAAGGACACCCAGCTAAGGTCAGGCAGAGTATCTGCTCAAACTCAACAGCTCAGCTCTGCATTGCCCTGGGTAGCTTCCGTTGATTCTGGATTCCTGGTCTTTAAGTTCTGTGCTAAAGCAGGAGGTGAAGCAAGGCAGGGTGGGGGGCTCTCCCAGCCACAGAAGTTTCATGACACTGCCCAGCCACTGTGCTTGGGGTCAGGCACTTCCTCCCACTCCCTTCTAGGCCTTTCGGCCATGTGGCCCAGAAAACCTTCCATAAGCACTATCTTCCACCGGGATCTCAGAGGCCATTCACCTGGCTCCGGTGGGTCCGTGGCCCTCTTCAGAACGCAGTAGAAACCATGGAGAGTTGTGAGCATTGAGACAAGCGGCTTCAGAAGGTCCTAAGACTAGCCCCATGCCAGAGCCCAGCTGTCACCCAGATGTGGCCAGCTGCCACCCAGATGACTCAGGACGAAGGGACCGCTCCCTCGAGGGGCTCATCAGCAGCTCATCAAATTGATAAGACAAGTTCAGCCAAGCAAGCATGGCGGGGAGCGAAGAGTTCAACTCCACTAACCATTAAAGACCAGTCAAGGTGGCAGCCTCTCCAAGGACAGCAGCCCTCATCTGCCTCCAGGTGCGGCTCTCCCTAGCACCAAGTCTGCCGAATCTCACCTGGGAGAGAGTCCAGAGAGGGAGGCCAAATGGTCCCCATCTCATCCGTGCCCCCAGAAGCAACATACCACAGAGGCACCCTTGGTTGGTAGGGACAGAGCCTGGCAAGAAGTGCCAAGGGGAATCCAAGAGCTTCACCTGGCTGTCCCCTTCTGTGGGGCTAGGGAGAAGAATGTGGGACTGGGGTGGAAGCCATGTGCCTCCTGTCCATAATCCCCATAAGACTTGGAAGGGACAAGAGAGCACGAAGGTGTGGGGCTGGTGACTAGAGCACACTGACCGCAGCCCCAAGCTGAGTGTCGCAGGACTTGGTGAGCCTGGTGCTCCTTATGTCCCCATCCGAGACCCTCCCTTAAGGGACAGTTTTGCACAGACAACGAAGTCCCAAAGAGGTACCCCGACAGCCCTGGTCAGAATGGGGGTGCCTGCTCAGGATTGCTTAAAGCAACCCCACAACCTTCTCCAGGACACCCCTTCCCTGCTTTAGGTAAGCCACCGAGTCCAGCTGGGTCTGCTCCCCACCAACCACACCTCGTGGGCTTCTTAGGAAGTCAACAGCACATAAACACAGCTCTTGCCACCGAGCATCCAGATCCCGGGGCGGTCCCTCCAAGCAAGCACAATGCGCCTGCAGGAGTTGCTGCCCAGTTACCAACTTCACCAGGCGATGGCCAAGCATCCCTGGACCACCACAGCCCTGACCCACGTCCCAGCTGCCCCAAGATTACTTACACCTCTGCCTTCGACACCTGTGTGGGTGGCGAGCTCGTCCCGGGTTGGAAGCAGTGCGGTGGCTCCGTCCTGGGGCTCGCTTCCCGCTCGCAGCCCCAGCCTCAACCTCTTCTGCTCCGGAGCATCGTCCTCCCTTCCCTGCCGGCCCTCCCTGCCTCCTCGCAGCTTGTCTGCATCTTCAGGGCTGCCTGGGGGGCTGGCCATGGCTCCAGGTGGGGGTTTTTGGTGCCTACTCTTGGGGACGAGGAAGGAAGCAGGCGCCTCCCGCTGCAAACGGCCTCGCGGTGGCAGTGGGGCTTCTGCGCTCGGGCTCGGGGTCCGCGCCGGGCAGCTCTGTGCAGCTCTGCTGGCTCGCCACCGCCCTCTGCTGGCCATCACGGGCACTGCGGGTGGACCGGCTAGGTCTATGTGCCCGCTAGAGCAGGTACCCAGATGAGACAAAACCCTGTCTCCAGCCAACTCACAACCGATGCGCTAGGAAGGAAAGTAAAGGTGGGACGCCCGGAGAAGTTGGGAGGGGGTGGGCAGCACAGTCACTCTGGTCTTTGGCTCTATTTGTATTTGGAATGGTTTAGGGCAGCCTAGAAAATGACGTGGAGAATTCTGGAGAACAGGATCTGAGGAAAGGCTGGGTCTGTCAGCTGACATTTGGGGGACACGGGGCGGGGGAGGGGGGGACAGAGAGGCCAGAGGTCAACAGGTAACTAACTTCCCTTTGTTTTCTGTCTTTTTCTCATTTATTTGCTGTTTGTTTGTTTGTTTTTCCTGTAGACCAGGCTGGCCTCAGATTTACCCTAATTTTGCAGGTCAGAAGATAACTTTTGGAAGTCAGTTCTTTCCTTCCACTACGGAGATCCTGGGATGAATGCAGCTTGTCAGACTTGTGCAGCAAGCACCTTAACCAACTGAGTCTTCTTCTTTTTTTTTTTTAAGACTTTACGATTATTGGTGTTTTGCCTGCATGTATGTCTATATGACAGTGTCAGAAGCCGTGGAACTGGAATTACAGACAGGTGTGAGCTATCATGTGGGTGCTGGGAATTGAACCAGGCCCTTCAGAACCACTGAGTCATCTCTCCAGCCCCAAGCTGAGCCTTCTTGGTGGCTCTGGTTTGGTTGGATTGGGTTGGGTTGGGTTGGGATGGGTTGGGTTGGGATGGGTTGGGTTTGTATTCGGGACAGGGTTTCTCCTGAAACTAGAGCTCCTGGATTCATTAACTGGCTGGTCAGTGAGCCTCCAGGACCTGGTCTGTACCCCCCATTGAGGGGATTGCAGGTGCTCACTGCCATGCCCCCTTTTATGTGGTTGCTAGGGAACAAGCTTTGGTCCTCGTGGTTACACAGGGATCACCTTACCCATTGAGCCACCCTAAGAATGGCACATAACAGATGCTCAGGAAAACTTATTGGGTGAGCAAGTGGACCTGCTCCAGCGCATCATCTCTCCCCAGCAGGGATTATTCCAGTCCCCACACGGGGGCCTGAGAGCCTCTTCTGACTGTGACTGTCCTGAGGCAGCCCTGTGGCGAGTAGCATCATAGAGAGCGAGTCTGACATGCTGGGGCACGCTGCAGTGGCTGGAGTGTGGTGCAGCACTTAGTGGTCAAAGGCGGCTGGACATGAGCGCCTCGGTGGACTGTGGAGTCAAAGCCACAGTCAGATTCTGGGTCGGGTCCGGCTCACTTGGGCCTGTGACGCCCACCATGATGAGTCCCATGTACTTAGAAATGAAGCAGATTGGCAGTTTTCCTGACATGTCTAAGGGTGTTAGCTTAAACAAGTCAGGAGAAGTCTGGCTTGAGTCACAGAAACACGGACTTGTGTCCCTCCATTGTTTCCCAGGCTTGAGCCAGACTGCAGAGCAGTGGCACGTCAGTGGGAGATACGGCCCCATGCTGCCTGGGCAGCAGCCAGAGGAGTTCCCATCCCCTTTTCCACCCAGGCAAAGCTGATCCTCGACTTCTCTGCAGAAGGGAATTTCAGGAGCAGCCACTATGAAGCAGAGTGGGAATGTATGAAGGCTTACTTAGCGGATTTAACCACGGGGTTGCTAGAAGGCTACTTGGTGAAGCAGTAAGGCACACCTGAGAGTGTGGGTGTGGGCTTCCCAAAGGAGAGTGAGGGCTAAGCATCTCCCAAGTGGCCATGTATTCTGCTTTGGTGACTCCTGAAGTTTCACCTCAACTGCTGGCTGAAGAACCTTTTCTTGGTAAATGAGATTAGAGGGTGGCTCCTGGGGTGCATTGGATGGGGTTCCCGGGGTGCACTGGGTGGGGTTTCTGGGGTGCACTGGACGGGACCTCTACTGATGCAGAGGACTTCGGGAAAAGAAAAGATGGATGCTGTCACTGTAAACAGAGTTACTGTCTTGTTTGTCAGATTCCCAGGAAATCGTGGGAAAGGAGAAAGGCCACACTTGAAGGTCAGACAGGCACGGCTCATTGCTATTTTAACACTGATACTGAAAATATCTTTATGTACAAGGAATATTATCTCTATGTGAGCAACCTTTACAGCAAGTGCTAATTGTGGTAGAATTCTTTCTTTCAGCTGGTGAGAGGCTTCAACCAGATTTCTTCCCCTCCCTGTGTCCCCTTAATTGTCTCTGTCTTTCCATCCTGCCTCAGAACGCACGACTGAGGGGAAAGTCAGAAGCCTTAACAGCATGCTTGCTCTTTCTCCAGAATGTACCCCAGCCTTCATTCAGGGTAGCTACACATTGGGCAGAGGAAGCCATCGAACCTTAATGAGGACACTGGGCCTGGGCTCTGAACTGACACTAAGCCCAGGGAGCCACCAGTCAGAACTGAACTGATTGAGGTCAGGTGACCACCCAAGGCCTTCTTTTGAAGCATCTGAAACCAGACAGTAAGATGAGAGAGAATCACAGGACAAGGGCATGCTGGGAGATTGCTCAGTGGAGAGTGCACTTGCAGCACCAAGGACCTGAGTGTGATTCCCCTGAACCCACATGAAACTGGACACAGTGGTGTGCACTGGAACCCCAACACTCCTACAGGGAGATGGGAGGCAGAAACGGAAAACTCCCCAGAGGGCCAGCTAGTCTGGCATGTGCTGTGGGAAACAAGAGGTCCTATCTAAAACATGGTGGGAAGCAAGAGCTGACACCCAAGGTTGTCCCCTGATTGCCACATATACCCCATGCATGCCTGCACTCACACACATACAGAGAGAGAGAGATTTATTTTTTGTGTGTGTGTGTGTGTGTGTGTGTGTGTGTGTGTGTGTGTGTGTGTGTGTGGTGTGCACGTGTACAGGTATACTGGGAGACCAGAAAAAGACATCAGATCCCCTGAAGCTGGAATTATAGGCAGTGATGAGCCATGTGATGTGAGTGCAGGAAATCAAACTTCTGTCCTCTGGAAAAGAGCAAGCATCCTTCGTCATTGGGCCATCTCTTCAGCTCCACACACAGATTTTCTGAAGTGCCGTGAACCGACTGACCCTAGTTTCTCTACTGTGATCTGTAAGTGTGGCTTTTGCTCAAGCTCAATGCCACGCACTTCCCTGGGGATGCACCCCACAACTGACATGAGCTCTCTACCCTCGTCTCTGCATAAACTCTGTAAGGACAAAGGTTGTACACTCATTCATTCTTATTGTTATTTATTTTTATTTTTATTTATTTATCTTTATTTATTTGGCTTGTTTTTCAAGACAGGGTTTCTCTGTGTAACAGCTCTGGCTGCCCTGGAACTCACTCTGTAGACCAGGCTAGGCTCAAACTCAGAGATCTACCTGCCTCTGCCTCCTAAGTTCAGGGAGTAAAGGTGTGTGCCACCACACCCAGCTTATATATATATAGAAACAGGATCTCCCAGGATACCCTTGACTTCACAATCCTCCTGTCTCAGCTTCTAGTGTTGGGATTACAGACAGACACCACCATGCCCAGGAAACAGACTATGTTCAAAGTGGTTTACAGAAAAATGAGCAGTGACGTTCCTTATCGGCCTTTCTCCCTCAGGTCCTAACCCTCCATCATTAACTGTTGCTTGGGGGAGTGTGTTTGTAGCAACTGTGAGAAAATAGTGATACATTATTTTAAGGAAAGTCTATAGCTGACCTCGGGCTCTCTCCTCTTTCTCCTATAACGACAAATCACCTGACAAACAGCAACTTCGGGGCTCTTGGTTTGAAGCTGCAGTCACTCACGGTGGGAAGGTGGGGGGCAGCAGGCTGGACTTGCTCCTGACATCTTGAGGAAATGCTGGCCTTCAGCTGGCTTCTCCACTTCCCCTTTTTATTCAGTTCCACAGCCCCAGCCTGTGGGGTGGTGTCACCCACATTCAGGGTCATTTTCTTCCCACTGTGTAAATTCTCCCTGAAAAACTCCTGAGCGACACCCAGAGGATTGCCAGAAGCATTGTGTAACCCAAACAGGTGGCCAGTCTCACACCATAATTCCATGGCAGTGTCCTACAGAAGTCTCCTCACCCTGGAACTCTCCATGACTGTCCATACTGCCAAGACCTCAGCGGTGTCGAGGGGTTATTACTGACTGTCATTTACCACCCATATTGTCAAATATTTTCATCTAAGACAATTAAAGGGAAGTAGGAGGTTACCAGTTACCTGGCACTGTAAGAAAGATGTGTTTCCTGAGCCACGGGCTTAGCTCCCCAGTGAGCCCTCCTGGGCCTCTGCATAGTGTGACCAGATTGACAGTAGGGGCAGGGAAAGGGCTGCAGCAAGGGGTCCTTTAACTGCCAGCTAAGACAGGAGTGTCCTGGCTAAGGGCTGAAAGAGCAAGTGTCTGAGGAACACGGATGTAGGTCCCGCTCCTGTCCCTCACCCCAGACACCTCACCATCTCTGTGTAGAATAAATACATCAAAAGTAAGTAACAGCAAGGAAAGTGACAGGGACTGTGAGGAATGACGAACATTTGAAGGAAGACACAATATCACTCCAATGAGAGCTCGTGTTCCCCCAAAAGCAGATCCATCCGGATAGGATTCAAAGGTAAAAGCGTTGGTTCTTAGGCAGTTTGGGGAGTGTGGTGATGGTTAGGGGTCAGGCGGGGCTGGAGAAGGGAAGGCAGCTGAGAAAAGGCTTGCTAATGAACTTACCACTGTGGTAGTGCAAAGCTTCATCACCTGGGAGGAAAGGGCATGCCTCCGCTTTGCCCATCTCTAGAGGTGCAGGCCCTCGGGCGGCCACCCACACTTTTTCACTAGTCATGCACACACAGAGCTTCCTCCCAGAGGATCTGATGTCCAAGTCTGGGCTAGGGAGATAGCTCAGTGGAGAAAATGCT